TGTTTGTCATGGTACCATAAAGGCCTAGGCCAGTCTTTAAACTTGATGACTGTTCTGCTGGACCGACCTCTCTGTTCCGCTGCCATTTTGTAAAAGCTGTGAATAGACTGGCAGCCAGAGGAATTGCTACCATCATGCAACACACAAACCTAAATGGCATTTTGTAATTATTTAAACCTCCACAACATCATTTTGTGTTTTGTAATATATGGTCTACTCACAGGCAGGTGATCTCTAACATGTTTGGGGCAACAGTGTCAGGTACACAGTGGATCAGGAGTACCTCTTGAGTGGAGTCATTCACCAGAATAGAAGGGAAGGGGGCAAGAAGAGATGCACCCCCAAACTTCAACCTGTCTGTTAAAAAGAAAACAACCTGTTTTATCCTATATAAAGCATGAACAACATTTTCAGTACTGACCTTGCAGCACCAGCAATTGGACATCCTCTTCCTTACAACTGTCAGGGACACATATCCCCACAAAATACTCAGTTGATCCCTATTAAAAAACGTTAGTTCATATCATACAAATATGATAAAAAAAATTTGTGATATTTTACCTGACGGAGGAACACTTGGCAGTATTGTCCAGCAAAGGTTGGCGCCTGAGCAGACTGGCACAGCTGCAACAGGCCAGGCTGATCAGTGTTACCACCCTCCACATTGCTTCCCATTTTTCCAAAGGCATCATACACTGATTAAAACATAGCACAATCAAATTGTTTCTAATTACATCACATGAAATAATAGTACTTTACTCCTTGCATAAGTCACAAATCATAATCATAAATCAATCACAACCACTTAATCAGGGTTCCATTGCAACTGCAATGTTAGTATCGCAAGAAACAAAATTAACTCTATTAAAATTTTTGTCCTTGCAAGGAATTTTGAATAATTTGTTACTTACTGTGAACAGCATATTCTTTTGGATGGTCCATGTTTATTTCAGATAGAAAAGTGACTGTATCCATAAGACATCTCTGAGACAGTGCCAAGTCTTCTGTCATGCCCAGGCCTCCATACGAGCGTAGTAAAATGAGCAGCAACACCAAACAGGCTTTCATTTTAACACTGATTGCTCCACCTTGCTGACAGCTGCCTTTTATAGCATTGTCATCATTACGATGGGAGTGTGAAATTGGCATTTTACCTTGATGTAAATGGCAGGATTGTGTTACAAACATGAATGTCACTCTTCAGAATGAATAGGATTTGGTAATGCATCTGTAGTGTTAGTAACAAGCCACTAGATGGGGCTAAATGATAGTGAAGCCACTTTGTTAAACGTGGTACTTCAGAACCTAAGCACAATGCTGAATGCCTTAATAAATTTGAAGAAATACTGTATTATTTTTATGCTCCATACAAATTTATTTGTATGAGACATTTGTAGAGCCAAAACATTATTTCAAAATTGTCTTTTCTGAATTTAGATAGTGATGTTTTCTTTGACACTTATATTTGACACACATTTGAATTCATATTGAGACTTTTATATTTTCCCACTGTATTCAAAATGTATATAAATACATATTGCATCAAACAGGACCATTTATTATTACATTCCAATTATTCGTCAAAAGTAGCTCCTTAAGCACAATATAATAGCACACAAGTAGCCATGATGAATTTGGCACTGAACTAGTCACTTGCATTGAGTGGGAATGTTGTAATGAGCTTATATATTAATAGCTCCTGATTGTCAACATCCAATTATTTATTGAGTTGTTAAGCTCTTGAAAGGGAACAACAACGTAGGTCCTACATTAAAGTTTACATTGATTGGGAACTCATACAAAACTTCAGTACATTCAGTGGAAATAGCAGCATTAAAACTCTGCATATTGCAGATTAAACACACTCTTACAATATTTCAATACAGGCCACAGTACCCCCAAACTATCTAGCTCTAGACAAAGCTAAAGGCAATGAAAATAAAAATAAAAATAAAATATATGACAGGAATACTGCAAAATCCTATAGGAACAACTTAAGTAATGTAGGATATAAATTAATGACTTGACATACATGTATGTGGCTGCCTGTTATTTACACCTAGAGAGTTTTGTTTATATCATGAGAGCTGTATTGCTTTTGTTCAGTATTCATCGCTTCTCTAATTGCTTTTGCTTTAATAAAAGCCATCCCATGTGTCCTCATGTGAGTGTTTAAAATACCCTCAGTTTCAAATTCCCGGCCGCACACTTTACACCTGGTGTTTGGCATGCTGTTGTCATTCTCGTCTGCACTGTTGAGCTGGTTCTCTCTCTGGCTCTCGTCACCCCCTCTGCCCTGTCTATGGCTGAGCCCGCGTGGCTCCTTCATTCGGTGAACGATAAACATGTGTCTGGATAAGGAGCGAGGAGAAGTGTAGCAGAGTCCACACTCCTTACACTGGTATGAAGATCCATCGGACTTATGCCGTGGGATGTGCTCATGGAAAGTTGTCATGTTCTCTGTGTTAAAGCCACAGACGCCACACTTATGAACTTTAAGGATATTTACTTTTAGCTTCTTCAAAGGCTGTGAATCAGAGTCCCTGTTATTAACATCCGGAGAGCCTTCATATTCTTCTGACCTCCGCTTTGGACTTGTCTGTGAGAAACAGAATATAACAAGAACTTGTATTAACTTTGTTGCAAAGTTATATGCTATTGTTTTTATTATAAACATACTAGATTTTCACAACACTGAATCCATTTACATAAAACACTATTAACAGCATAAAGTACCATTTCTTTATCAGACACTGTCGATGTGATATTAGTATGAGCAGTTTTCCTTTCTTGATCACCGTGTATCAGCTGAGTATGTTGGTCCAACAGAACTCTTTTGGTAAAAGGTTGACTTAGAGGTGGACATTGTCTATAACAAATAACAAAACATTATATTACTGTTTTCACCAACACTTAAATGTAAATATTGTGACAATTGTGAACTCACGGGCAGGGGAGAACATTGTGCAGCCCCTTGTGCTTGAGACGATTATGTCGACAGAGGCTATGCATAGAACAAAAAGATTTCTCACAGTGATGACATGGGTGCTTTTTTAATATCTGAAAAGAAAAAATATAATGTCATTGAGTACATTTAATTTTGTTAACATGAAGTCTTTAATGTGTGACTTGAAAACTTCCACCTTTCCATGCTTTTTGCGCATGTGTCCCACATAAGTCTCTCTTGAAGCAAAGACCATGTTGCACTCCCCACATGTGTATCCAGTATTTGTATTTTTCAGCCCTTTTTGGCTGCTACTCTTTGCTTTCTTTGCCAGCAAAAAGTTGTCAGGTCTGCCATGACAGTTTTCATTTGAACTGTCTTTGTTGTGGTTGGTGTTGGCACTGGAGCTGTTAGAGTTGGTGGACCTAGTGATGAGAGGGAGGCTGAGACTTTGTGGGCCCTCAGCTGTCTTCAGAGTACCATGAGTGGCCTGACAAAAAGCAGAGCTTATCATTTAAGCACTAACAAAGCATAGTAGAACAAAATAATACTATGTGATATTAGATTGTGCACAGTAAATGAAGAAATATTATTTTTCTAAATGGTAAATTTGAAAAGGTGGTAAATGGTCCCATTTTTCTATAGCACTTTTCCACCTTCAAGGCACTCAAAGTGCTTTACAACTGCCAACCTTCAGATTAGTGGGCGAATGCTCTACCAACTGAGCTAACGCCGCCCCGGTAGTGGTGGTATTGTTTATGTTAGGAAAATTTGCACTGAAAGGTATGCTTGGCATAATATATAAATACAATGTACCCCTACCTTTATGTGATCCAGCATGAGTTGTTTTTGTGCATAGTACATGGAGCAGTCTGGGCATTTGAAGACAGGTACCCTGTGATTATTGACATGCTGTTCCAAATGTGTGTAGAGCAGAGACTGTAGAGTGAAGACAGTGTCACACATGGCACATTTGTAGATCAGCCTGAAATACAACAAAATTCAGTTAAAATGTCTGTTATGGAAACCCTCATTTGTAAGGTGATGCCACATTGGCCGTCTAAAGGTTGACACCTGGAAAAACAATTAAGAAAACCAAAGCTACCATGTCTAAAGTCTCCAAATCCTTCAATTGATGACATAATCTATGTTTCAAAGAATACATTAGACATGGGTATTCCATTACACTGTCTAACTACTATCTCTAATTTTATTATAGGCAATTGTGATTTTGCCAATACACAACGAATGCTAAGTAACAAAGTATGTTGTAGAAAGAGGCTTACTTGGGCTCCCCTGCTTTCACTCCTGGATGCTGTGTATATGCATGGGAGTGTGTCCCAGGAGCTGACTTGAAAGCCATTGGACAGATAGGACATTTATAGAAGATTTCACAGTGAGAGCTTTGGATGTGGGACTTGAGAGTGGAAGCATCAGTCGAGATCACGCTGCAGTGGACACATCTATGAAAAAAGAAGTGTTATTAATATTGTTCTAATACATTATTATTAACTGAGCTGGGTCTTGACTTTGTATGATGTAAATGAGCTCACCTGTAGCCACTCTTCCGGGTGTAGTGCAGACAGGTTTTGTTGACATGATGTGACTGAAGGTGGACTGATTGAAAATTAACTCCACACTCAGGACAGACATATGGAGATTTATGTTGGTGAATTCTCTGGTGCGACATGAAGCTGCACTGATTTGGCAAAATCATTTGGCAGACAGAGCAGGTTTTCTGTAAAACATGACTGCAATGATTAAATCATGCATTTACCAAATCAACTAGCTACAATACCCACACACCTGGCTACTAGACTCCTGTTTGTAGTGGACTACTAGAGAGTGGACATCCTCAAATATTTCATTACATTCCCAACACTTAAGATTTGGTCTCTCCAGTTTTGATGTTTCATCCTCCATTGCCTCAACTTTCACAGTACATGGCGTGCATTGTGCTGCAGTCTGTAATACTCTTTGTAGTATTTTGGAGGGGGCGGTGGAATCCATACCATTTGTATCACTTGGACTTGTGGCAACTATCATCTGGTCTTTTGGGATTGGTTTGAGGATGAGGTTTGAGCACTGCATGACCATACCTTTTTCTTTGTGGCTTCTGGCATGAGATAGCAGGCTGCATTTGTTGTAAAAAACTAGACTTTTGTTGCAGTGGTTGCAGGTCATTTCAATCCTAACACTACGACGCTCACAATGCTGCATCAGGCTTTTCTCTAGGGCAAAAGAATCACCACATTCCAAGCACCTGTAGCCTCGACATGGTAGAGTTATACAGGCAGCCGATGGAGGGGAGAGGTCTGGGACATATATGGGAACAGGGTTAATGCTGCCGAGGAGTTTGTTGAAGGCATCCACCAGAGAACTTTGAGAACTCCCAAACACTTGCACCTTGGACAATTTTTTTGACACTTGGTCATTAAAGATTGATTTCAGTTGAGATTGCTGTGTTTGTGAGGAAGAGTAAACTTGTTGGAGGTCACAGGAAGATGATGTCATGGCTTTAGGTAGGAGATTGAGGTTCCCAAGATGCACTGTTTTAGGAATAAGTTTAGCACTAGTCGCCTTAGAGGGTACCATGATAGCCTGTTGTTGATTGCCATTTGCACCTTTGAGAATTGCACCACTCGTACTTGACACTGATGAAGCTGGGATCACTGTAGCTTTGACTGTGGTGTTATCCGCCAGCATAAGGCTGATCACTTGTGAACCAACTGTTTTAACAGCTGATACAGGTAAAAAGGCTGTCGCTACAGGCTTCATTGTCATCTGCTTTGGTACTTCATTTACAAAGTCACCAGAATTAGCTACTTCTGTTGTTGGTAGTGAAGTTCTTGGAGAAGATGTAATTGCAGTGGTCGTTCCCATAAAGTTTTGGCTTTTAGAAATCTCAGATTTTTTAATGCCCTTGTGCTGAGAAGAAACTGGAGTAACGGTGCGCTTTATTTGTCCAGTCTTTGTCTTAATAGTTTTAATACAGACTTTTGGGATCACAGGGGTGTTGGCAGAGATTGAGGCAGAAGAACAGTTGCTGCTACCATCACTTGTGATCATCGATGGGCTATCTGGTAGCTTTGGTTGCAACTTTTGTGGAAACTGTTCACTATCTTCAAGCTTTGCACAAGTTATAGGACTGTCATCTTCTTGTGGACTAACAAGTATGGGTTTAACTTCCACTTCTACAGCATTGTACACTTCAGTATTTGCAGTAGCAGACCTTTTGGGACTAAGGACAGCTTTGTTTTTTTCGCATGGAGACAGTGTATGAGAGGTTTCTTTTTTTACTGGGAATGTATTAGACAAACAAGTTTCTGAGGGCTCATCATTTTTACACATTTTTAGTTCATCTGGTTTTAGAATAGCTTTTAATTCTTCTTGTTGCCTACATTCATTGGGTGAAATACAGAAATCAGTATTTTCTTGACTGTTGTTGTTCTTATCATGTTTTACATTACCCTCTACATTTGCTTTTGCTAGATTGTCATCAGAATTAAGGGAATCAGACTGTTTATTTGTTGATCTATTGGGGGACTCACTACCACGTTTGTCACCACAAACTTCTTCTTCATCATTTTCCTCAGCACTTGAGATGGGACTGTATTTATTGAACATTGGTGATTTGGCTCCATTTGGTGAACTCTGTTTGTTTTGGTTGTGATCACAGCTTACAGATGGAATGGGAGACAAACAGCCATTATAATGTCCATTTTGACTGACTGAGTCTGATTGAGTCTGAGAATGCATATGTCCTTTATTGTCCTTGTTTCTAGTGTTCTTAACAATGACACTAATGCCACCATCTTGAGTGCTCTGGGGCTCATCTTGAGGTGTAGTCTCTGAATTTGTTGGTTTGAGCTGGCTTTCATGATCAGCTTGGCCTGACTCAATAGCAGCTTTGGGATCAACCATGTCAGGGATGTCAAAGGCTGCCAGTAAATCATCAAAGTCTGGAGTCTTCATATCTCCCATGATTTTACTTATATCAGCTCACCTAACAAAGAAAAATACATTATATGATTCACATTAAGCTTTTTACTTTGCTTTACTCTTTAGTTATATAAACACAATCAAACTATGAGCTAACAAGATTTTCAACAGCTGTCACTTTTTTTCCTCATTTATTGTTACTAAAAATAACACCATTTAAATCCATGGAAAAAAGAAACATAAAATAAGAAGTCAGCCAGGATTGTGCTGCACCTATAGCACATTTAAATGCAAAAACATTCATATGTAATAGGGCCAGTATTGATTTAGGTAAACTGTAATTGTTGTCCAGACAAGGATGCTGAGATGCTGGGCAGAAAATACTAGAGTGAAGCATGACACAATGGTGACTGAGCTGTGAGACGTTTATGGACCTTGAGGGAAAAAAATCAACTGACAGACATTCCACCTGAAAATATATTTAATACTAATATAACCATAACTGTACACCATTCACAAGTTTAAACACTTTTTCTTGAGTTTATATTAATTGCTTGATAATGGGACATAGGATATTTTATGTGCATTGTATCCAATGCAATTTAAAGTACATCTGCATGTAATTGCATAAACTTTTGTCTCTTTTCATCGTCGGTTTATAGACAAGTTTGCTTTCCTTCCTTGCCTCCATCCATGCTGCCACATGGAATGACAATTCCACTGACTCATAGAGCAATATCTGCCCTACTGTTTCTGCAAAATCAGTTTTTTCCCCATCAAGGCCCAGACCTAAGGGTCAGGTTTCATCTATTGATCTGTTGAATTATTATGCTTTGGGTAAGAATCCTTCTCAGTTGTGAGTGTGTGCCTGTGGGTGGGTGTGTGTGAGGAAGACTCTCTTGCAGATTCACTCTGCCAGCCACGTCTCCCTGCTCTCATCTAGTCCCATTCCTCCTGTGAGCATGCCCATGCTGCTACCACGACGACTACTACAGTAGCAGCGGCTTCAAGGAAATCTGCACCATAGCTAAGCACCTCAGAGCTGCCATAGAAGAAGTCTGGACTAGCCCTGTATATCTCTCACTGGAGCACAGAGACAGCATTGTTCCTGTCTTCGCTCCATCTGCCTCCAACCGGTTTCAGCTGGTTCTGTTCACCCAGCCTACAGCAGTACTTTGCTGCAGTACGGCCTTAGAATCGGAGACAGGAGCCTACCCTGCAGGAAATATTGGATTTTTGTCTCTGTACAATATGTAAGTATCTATATTTATGTAATATAATCATCAACATAATAAAGCCGACATGTATTTTCTCCTAGATAAAGCCTCTGTAAGAAAAAAGAATAGAGAAGCATAATGGTCACAGGAAGCACAAGAAATTATCTATTGATATGGGACAAGAAAAAGAGGAGGATGGTGAGTTGTCTACATAAGCAAATGAAGTAAAAAAATAGACTAATAAAGATGTTGTTCACTTACATAATAGAGGATGTTGTCTTCATGATGATGGCGGGAAGCTCACTCTTGGCCTTTTCCTCAGCCACATCCCCCCAGTGCACACATACACACACTCTGCTCCAGCCCGCCCCCAACACCCAATAAACACCAAAAACCTGACTTTGATACTAATAGCCCTCCACTTACACCTCCAATGCTGCTGTCTTAGAGAAAGCACTTTAAATATCCACTAGCCACTGTCTTGTCGCACATAGAACAGTTATCCACACAACATCTCTGAGTGCCTATACTGCCCACGGTCCCTGCTGCCACAAAGACACATAAACATGCAGCTTCATGCAGAAACAGAGAAGCCATACCCTTGTCAGCTTTCCACACAGGTATTCAGTAAAAGGGAATCTTCCTGTGTAAGCCCCATGTTCCCACTACACTATTTCCCCAGTTTCACATCCTTCACAGTTCTCCCTCTCTCCTTCTTAGGGTCATTCTCAGATTTTAGTCTTACTGCAGGCCCTTTCCCTCGCCAGCCCCTGCCACCAGCACCAGCCCGGTGTGAAGGGACAGATGGAGAAAGGGGGCAGTGTTCAGCAGGCGAATCAGGCCTTTTGTCTGTGTGAGGGGGTGAGGGTCTCTCACTTTGGATTGTACAGCAGCAGCTGGTGCAGAGACAGAAGAGAGAAAGAGAGACAAGCCACAGAGGTGGGAAGGAAAATGACAAGCAAGAGACAATAAGGATCATGCAGCAAGACAGGGTTCAACCTTCAAAGCCAGTTCTCGTTTTGCTATCATCATGTATCAACTTGTACTTCGAGAGAGAGAGAGAGAGAGAGAGAGAGAGAGAGAGAGAGAGAGAGAGTCTGACTGTGTGTGTGTGTGTGCGTGTGTGTGTACAGTAAATTTTAATGTCCATTCCAAACCACATAAAACATTACAAATTTACAAAATTACAAAGTGACAACATCTAGACCTACTAATTGTAATGTCCTACCTGACTGCAGCAGTTGTCTTTCAGTTGTCTGGCCCTGGTATCAGCATGAACTAACCAACTAGGCCTGCCTTGCTCATTATGCTACAGGTACATTGATACATGGAATAGACATTTAGACTTCTGTGCATAAAAGGCCCTGATCTCAAGTGAGGCAGATTCAGAACAGGAGATGGCGCTGAGGATGCTGTGTTCCTCACCTTTGACTGTCATAGTCACATGATCACAGACACCCTCCATTCTGTGCTGTCTGTGCTGCTCATGCATTTAGATCAAGCTCAAGATTCTGTCACAAAGCGGCTGTTACATCCCTGCAACCATTAGTTTAATCATAGCTAGGATGTAGTAAATGACTAACACACACATTTCCATTAGCTTAACACATCCACATACATAGATTTGGTCATATTTAATCAAAATGACTCTTGTAACATTCATTCCCGTGTCATTTTTAGTGCTTGAATGTCTTCATTGAAATCACAGATTTGACAGCTGCCATCAGACAGCCACAGTCTGAACCTATTACAATGGAAAATTGCCTTCACTAATTATCACTTTTGCTTCTGAAAGACTTCTCTTTTTAAAAGGCCCATTTTATCTGGAAAACAAAGTTATTTCAGTTACAAGTTATAAGAGCACTTAATGCTGTTAGGCATTCTGAGAGGACCTGTTGTTTTTAACATTTATGATTACATTATGCTATATTAGCTGTAACCCTCATTTTTATTTGTAGTATATCTACTGACACATTTAGCCCAAAGGAAATCAAATGGAACATTTTCAAGAAAGCGTCAGTGTTAGTTTTTTTTTTTTTTTAAGTTGGCCTGCAACGCCATCTGGTGGATCAGATTTCTTGTTTCTATGCCATTATCAGATATTGTAAAAGGTTTGCAAGTGTGCAGTGCCGACAATTTTAAAATATAAATAGATATATAGATTTATTTTAATTGTTTATAAAATTATACCCTTTTTATTTATGGAAATAAGGGGTTAGCAATCAGCAAGTAAGTGGCTGTTTGTAAGACTGATTATTAAGTGCTGTACTGATTACAAACTTCCTTTAACAAGCTGTGACCTACAGATTAGTTTCAAGTATGCTGTATGCATCATAAATTATTTGCTAGTTTTGTTGCAACCGTCAGATCTACGTCAGACTAATTTCCAAACTTTTGATAAACGTTTTATTTGGCTTTGTAGCAACAATATTTAGGTGACTCACTGTGTTTCGTTTAAGGTCATAGGTGGACAATGATGTATATGGCCTTCTTTGGAGGAGTACACCACCCCGTGCAAAGAGGATGTGACTTGTGCGGTAACCCTAACCTTTTCAACACTAATATTGCCTGCAGACCTCTACGTAAAGCATATCATGCTCCCTTATCTGTCCTTGTGCATTATTTTTATTTGGCAAGCTGTATGTCTGCTGGGATGAAAAGCAGCTGTCATTTATGAAGACTGTACACAGGAACTACGTGATTACACTTTTAATTTACATTCTTGACTTTTCCAAAATAAACTAATCTAGAACAATAAACACCTAATGAATAGTACATGCATTGTACATCTTTTGGCGAAGGGGCACACGCTGGCAGATGATAATTATCAATCATTTTAATTGTTAACATATGAGCTATATGATTTGGTTGTTAAAACAACTGAATATTTCAGTGTCACATTACAGAAATCATACTTGCCTACATTGAACAGTTCAAACGAAATAATTTACTATTTGATATTGCTTTCTGGCGGATTTTATTCAGATTTTTTGATTGCTCATTGACCCCAGTAAGAGATCTGCCATTATTGGTCCCAACCCATTATTCATTGCAATTATTCCGTGATCATGAAATGACGCTGACACCTCCTGCAATCACCCAGCAATCTTGAGGCAAACAATATGGACCAGTAATAATTACAGACTAGTGTCGTTTGTCATCGTGCTGTGGCACCGGCTACTTTTAAAAATCGCAGCTGACGCGCTGCCCTTGCATCAGGAGGGGCATTTAACTTAACCCAGTAGACAACACTGCCCGACGCGCTGAGAGTGGACCTTCTCCGCAACGAATATTAGCATTTACTGGAGATTATGATGGATTTTTGACTAAGTTTCTAAAAGTTACTGCGTTTTCCTACTACATAAGACACGCTGACAAAACATGCGCGCTCTGTGGTCCCCATGGACTTGCAGACCGTTTCTGCCCCTCTTTATTATTCTTGCAACAATTTCCTGTGTTTTGCACTCCATAGAAAGTCCTGTACCTGGGAAAATGTATCCACGCGGCAATCACTGGGCTGTAGGTAAGTTGCTGACAGGTCACAGTATATTTTAGACTGCTACACACGGGTAACAGCTTTAGAGGTTTTCATCACACTAAACAATGTGTATAGCTTTTATAATGAGAACAGACTGTTAACTATTGCATTTAAATAGGCATTTTTGTGATATAGCCTACAAAAGCTTTAGACTGATTTCTGCGTAATTTATTTCAGTTTAAATTTGGTAGGCTATCCTGCGCTCCTGTCGCTGTCAGGAGGGATATCTTTTATGTTGACTTACCTATCTTACTTATGATTATTACACACTTCCTAGGTCATTTGATGGGCAAGAAGAGCGTCAGTAGTTTTGCAACTCTACAACAAAGTGACCACAACAGTGACAACCTCAGAGACTGGCGAACGGAGGAGGCCACGCAATACGCGCGTCTGATGCAACGGAAAACTCACCAATTGAAGGCTGCTCAGATGCACAACCTGGCTCTGCTACACAGCAGGAGGAGACGAGTGGACAGATACAAATATCTCCGAGAGGTAAGCTTGGAAATGGTCAGAATTTATGTATGACAAGATTTTTATTTTTTGCTTATGTGCTTTTTATTGTAGATAAATGACCTCCTGCTTCTGACTTTGAAACTCCAAGAGAATGACTCTATATAAGTAAATATTTTTGTTATTGATATGACATGTGATAGTCTATTTATGTTGCAGCAAAATACTAAAATAATGTAAAACTAATCAAGAATTCTGTCAATATGCTTCCATTGCGAATTCACCATTTACATAAATATAAGTCACATTCTGCTTTAGTCTGTCATCTGACAACAATACCGCAAGGTGGCGCACAAGTCTCACAAACCTGTATTTAAATGTGTCCGTGGATCGCTGACTCTTGTGGATAATAAAGAAAAGTCGTCCTTATTGCTGCCCCTAGCCTTCTGTCTTGCAGAAAGAGTAGCCGACATGGTTACTGACTTTGATTTTTAATGAAGTCAATTGAACATGTTAATGGAAACAATTTGGATACATGAATCCTTTCTAAAAGAATCTAAGAAAAGATTTCCTTTCCTTTTTTCTGGCATTTCTTGTGGTTGATCTGTAAACAAAGGGATACAATAGAGTTACAAGCCACTTTCACCTCATTTTGAAGGGACTAATCCCAACAGGCAACGGTTTACAGAGGATAATGAGCTGGAAATAATGAGGCTGAAGACCCATCCTCAGAAACAGAGGAAGTGTTAAATTCGAGATAATCTAATCTGAAGACTCTTCTAGGTTAAATATTAAACAAAAATGATTTAGGGCACCTATGCAACCTATGTAGTCATAGGATCAGTATCCCATATAAGTAACTCTCTCTTAGGCATATACCTAGCATCATATATATATATATATATATATATATATATATATATATATATATATATATATATATATATATATATATATATATTTTTTTTTTTTTTTTTTTGTTAAGGTGTATTGAAGTTAACACTTTGTTGTGGGCTAGAACCCATTCCTTTTTTGAGTGAGAGTACTCTTATGTAGGCCTATAAAATGCAACTACAATAGATAAACAATGCAGGCCTACTACAATACAACGTTATTGCAATGAAAAAATAAAAAGGCTTTCATCTTTTTATACCACAGATTAGACTAGAAAATAAATCATGATAAAAAATTAAAATAGGGTACATTAAGCAAAGGAACTTTATTGTCACACATGGTACATCTTTGATGATTATGAAGTTGGAAAAAAATGGATAGGCCTTCACATACACATACACTTAAGTATTGCTTATAAAGGAGAGTTATAAAAGTTGCAGCAAAGTAGTCATTAGAAGACACAGGGCAGTAATCTTTTACAAAGACTGCAGCATTTTAATTTGTGTTGCCAGATAAGTAGAGTTTCTTTGAACCTAAAATTTCAACATCAGCAAAATAGAATATCTCAGTTCAGGTCTGCTGTACAGTATAAGCGTTCTTGGGTCCATTGTTAATCTCCTTCAGTAGCATCACCATGACTTTCCAATTGACTGAATGTGTTCCTTGGCTTTCATCCTCAGTGAGGCAATACTGGAGTTTCTGGGATCCACTGAACATTGGTATGGCACAGGCGGGCACATAGATCTGATAAGGGGCAGGTGAGTGTTGTGAGCCAGGGCAGGAGAGCCAAGGAATGGGGCCGATAGTGTTGATGGTGAAATTGCGGAGGAATGCGATGCAGTGTATGTCCCAGGAAGGGCATGCTGTGGGCTGCTGACGAAGCCAGGCAGTGACTGCATGGAGGTGGAAGAGGTGATGGGGGTGGTCAGCCAGGAGTCCATTTGCAGTCCAGATCCCAATGCTTGAGTCGGAGATCGGCTAAATGACAGCAGTGAGGGGGAACTGTCCTGAAGTTTGATGGAACTGACTTCAAGCTTCTCCTGACGGCGCCACTTTGCACGTCTGTTTTGGAACCAGACCTACAAAACACCACCCATATAAATGCACACACACACACACACACACACAGCTTGTCAGGTTTGTACTGTATATTCCATTTAATGTGAGATTCCTGAGATTCTTAGGTATATCTCTAAATAGATTGATTTCTTCAGGTTTCAAGAAAATTCAAGCCTGTGACTTTTTTGCCTCATGGACAATAAAAATACAAAAATTCTTCTCGACATTTCAGAAGTTTAGTCTTTTTTTTTGTTTTTTTTTGTATTATTAGGGACAACTTTAAGATACCTGCACGCGGACCTCCGGAAGGTTGACTTTTAGGGCCAATTCTTCTCGACTGTACACGTCTGGATAGTGAGACTTCTCAAAGGCTCTCTCCAGTTCATGTAGCTGGAATGTGGTGAACGTGGTCCGGTTCCTCCTGTGTTTCTTCTTTGAGTTTTCATCATCCGGCAACTTGCCCTCTCTGTCCGGAGAGTCCAGACACGCTGACGATGGCTCCGTGATGCTTTTGGCACAACAGACCACTGCGGAGCAAAGGCAACAGAACAACAGGTGAGTAAAACCAATATGGTCAAGTTCTAGCTTTAGGGTAACTTTGAACTTTTAATAAATTAACTAACCAATTTAGAATCATTGCTTTTGATCGCAAATATAAGCCAGGTTAATACAATTTAGGCCACTTTTAATGCATAAAATGTTATGCTTAACATCCATTAAATATCTGATTGCACATAAGCGGCTTTTTTTTTAACACACATAGTAGGTTAGTAAAAACGTAATACTCAGTTTTAAGATGAAGTCATTGTATTAGCAACTGCAAACACTAGTTTAACTTACTGTCAAAATTCCCCGAGTAGGCCTTTTTCTTTGTTGGGGTTACAGTAACATCCGCACTACGCTCAGCATCATGTCCCATCTCTCTGTCCATCATGTTGTAGGATATGGACTTGTGGAAATGAGCGTCTTCTCTAAAGCCCAGGATGGCCTCTATGCTGTGCACAGTGGACACGGCACCGGGACTGTGGATCGAGCGCGCCGGTGACACTGCCTCATTCATTATTGGAGTAGGTGATCCGAGGAGCCACATTGATCGCCGAGGTAAAAGAAAATCAAGTCAACGTGAATAATACAAATAATAAAAAAAAAAAACAACTGTTGCAAAATTTAAGTTTTTAAAGTCAATACACTGTAAATAAGGACTCTTTATCACGCGCGCAAAAGCTTCTTCCTCAGAGCACTCAAACTATCTTCAGACGGGGATTTTAAAGGGGTAAGACACCTATCCTTGTGGCAACTACACTGGACGTCAGAAAGGGGGACGTCCCGTTGGATTTAGGGCTAACGCGTTAAACGTTTGCCCTCAAAGACACATGCGCCCTCCACCACTCCTCCTCCCTAAGTGTGCCTCCCCTACAACCGCCAATATTGTCTCTAAACCTACTTACATAAATCTTAAAACCATCTTTCTGCTCCTCCAGATGTCATGCTCATGTCAGACTGTGAAAAAGAGGAAGATTAGGCTCACAGATTAAGGTACAGTAAAACCATGATTTAGGACTCAGATTGAAGCATAATATTTAATCAATACATCATTAAATTATGGAACTATGAACAACTATTTCCCTCATTTTTTCACACTTTAACGATTTAATGAAACCAAAGTTACAACACCCAACTAGAGGGATATCAGTTTTTTTTACAAGAGGAAAAAATGTGTAATGTCTCTCTGTAAGAAACAATAGATAGCTTTGATACAATACTGATTGTCTTTTGAACTGACACAAGTAATTGGTTAAAGTATTTCATTAAAAAGGGTCCTATTTTGTGGTATATTTTGATCACTCACCTCTTTATACATATTTTGGGGGAATTGTTTTAGCAACAGCTGACACTGAGAACCATTTCCTGAATTTATCTACCTAAATGTGAGGTGCAACCACTTAGCAGCAAATTTAGTTTGACAGCAGTGTGGTAATCCCATTTAAGGGGATTACATTGTTTTACTCAATAAAGTTAAAAGCCCAAAACTATTGAGCTTTTTCTAATTACAGGAGGTGACCAGAGTCTTTGTTTGACTGAGTGAAGTGGGGGGAAGGAGGCTAATGAGTAACTGGATCAATTAACGTCATCGTTATTGTTCAAACATTTGGATTTGGCAGCATTACACCATATAGTCACTCAGGTGTAGGCACAAATTAAAATATCAAATTGTATGGACTTTTTAGTTATAAACATTTTTCATTAAAATCTGGTATCTAGCTACAAAAGTACCATATTTGAAATATTTGTTAAAAGATAGAAATAATAATTACTGGAATTATAATTTTATCAGTGATTCTTCATAAACCAAATAGTTGGGCAGACTCTGCAGTTTCATGGGGACAAAGTGACAACCTTGAGTTTACTGATCCTATTAGTTGGTAATCCCTGGACTTCTCAAATCCACAGACATTAAAACACAGGTTCATGTCAAAATAAAGTTGACTCCCATAGCTGTGTGTTACCCCCAGCAGGTGTTTGGGTAATGCCCAATTAACTGAAGACTGATTTCTTTATTTGTTGCACTATCATTGAATAAGGCCGATCGGATTACGGAATTACGGATATTCTTTGTCCGGTTGCTATAAATAGATTTAAACCCCTTTGTTTTCAAATAGAGGGACCAGTTCAACTTGACCATGTTTAATTTCTGAAATGTTTAATATTTAACAACACATTTGGGCATTTGCAAAACAGTGTTATTACATGAGTCTTAAAACAGTGTAATACAGTTTGTGTTTTATGATGAGAGCAAATATGCAAAAAGTGATGAACATGTGGTTTTGTATGGTTTTTGAGTTAAATAAAATAACTACAAGTTTGTATTTCTTTTAAACATAACATTTAAAAAAGACTAACAGAAAACAGAAATCACTCAAACAAATCTGGAAATGTATTAAAAGGAAGTTTTTGTTAGGGTCATTTGACACACTCACACAGACAACAATTTCACATACACCACACACCACACAGCTGAAGAACATGACATTATTACATTGTATGGGAGGAAGTGTGGGGCTGTTCAGGGTTTATCATTAGAAGATGTTTTTGTTGTTGTTGTTGTTGTTGTTTTATAGGTGGGCAGCAAGAAATAATATTTACAAAAGTTATAGTCAGTGGTCTAGACCTGCATAGTACCATATAACATGTAATGGTGTTACTGTTAAACCCTGGTTGGTAGTTAGATTTTCACATTTGTTTCTCCTCACATGACAGAGCACTTTTCCTCTGCTTTGGTCTTGAGCTCAGTGACTGTGGCTGAAGCCTTCTCCTTCAGCTGATCCATGTCCATGTTCTGCAGGTTCTGAAACTGGCCCATAAGGGAGTCCTTGCCCTCCTCCTCGGTGGCGTCCTCGTCCACCATCTTGAGAAGCTCTTCAGGCACATCCACATCATCTCCAGCCATCTCAATCATGTTTTCATCCTGCTCACTCTGCAGGTAAGGAAAAACAACAACAATCATCCAATACGCGGGGACATAGACTTAAAAATACATCTTTTGTGTGGATTATCAGGTATTTGAGACTTCACCTTTCTCTTCAGATTATAGGAGATTTGGAACATTTGTGCTGTTTTTTAAACAATTTCCTAAAGGATATTTTATAGGATTAAAATACATGTTTTCAAAACATTTGTTGTTTAGTACTATATTCACTTTTACTAAGATCTATTGAACATGACTTTCATTCATTTAATTTTATTTGTTATCATTATTTTGTGAAGGTGTCCTGTTGTTAAAGTATACTGCTTAAAAGGTTTTAAAATGTAAAATGTAGTTTAAAAATTAAAACCTACTGTATATTTCATTCTTGATGATCTTCAATAGCTTGTTATTGTATTTATTTAATTGGCTGAAATCCCATAATTCTACCAGTAATAAGCACTAACATGCATCCAATTAACATAAATTAACAACATATATAATAAACAAATTTCACAAAACACTGAAATTAATTACTGTGTTTACTTTAAATTATGTATTTTGTATTGAAAAGAAGAGCAAAGATTAAATCAGCTGCTACAGAAAGCTACAGCGACAGATATGTGGAATAGTGTGCAATGCTGTAGCCGGTCTGTGGGATTATGTCAGAAGTGCTTTGGTGTTTTCTCATGGTGGATCCTGATGATCGGCTAAAGATATCCTCTGTAGCAATACATGGGACGCAAATCCATTAAACCCCAAACATTTACCGTTTCTAATCATGCCTTTTTAAAATGCATGCTGAATAAACAATATAGCTGCAAAAATCTATATTTGACAAACAACCTGTAATTTTGTAGAATCAATTTGACATTTGTTCTATTCAGCCCTTATACAATGTAAACATAATTAACAGAAATTAATTGCTTTGTTTGTATTGCTAACCATCTTTTGTTTTAGTAATAGTGAAAGGGTGAAAAGCCATTGTTGGAAGAAAGAATACTGCTACCATTGTAAAGAATTGTATAGTCAAGACATTCAATGTGTGCAGTTGAACAAACATAAGAAAACAATAATTCTACTAATAGATTAACTTTACTACCTATCTAAAGCAAGATATTGTCCCTACTAATTGATCCTAAAACTTCTTAAATTGTTAGATATTAAATTCATACATACCTTTTTTGCTCCCTCCATAATAACAAGTAATTCTGTTTCAAATGTCAAGCTACTAGAATATGCGCTAAACTGTGTGTCTTCGTCTACAGTGGCTTCTCCCTAATGAGCCTAGACACCTGCTCAGGGGCACCTAACATTTCCAGGATCTCTCTCACCTTGCTTTCTAATCCACTTGCGTTGTTTCCTGCAGTAGAAAGTGTTGCATGACAACATGATGGTATTGGTGTCCTGTGTACATTTCCAAACCATGTGCTTTTGTATGAATATACGTAAAATATAAACTAGACATATGGGTTTACAATTTAGGACTCACCTTTGGCAGTCTGTATTTTTCTCTAAGGCAGACCCGCAATGTTGCCCTTTCTGCTTTCTTATGTAGAAAATCTGCATCTCTCTCCATCCTGAAAAGTAATAAAGAAACAGCATACCATTTGAACAAAACAATACATGTCGTTTTATCCAGGCTTTGAACTGGCACAAGCATTACTATTAGAGTAGTTTTATGAAATGTATAAATATTACAGTGTTATTATAATGAGTGTATGACTTTCACCATGACTACTGTACAATGGACAATTAGTTTGTAAGTTTGCTTAAGTTTAAGTTTGTCATGCACATATCTTTGAGTAGCTAATTAGGTGAGATTAGATGACCAGACTGAGTAGAACAGATTTGAAATGAAGCCATGAGGTCACAAATCAAACCACGGTAAAGAAAAATAAATATATCTATGTCGGTATCTTCAAGTATGATAATCATAGTCATTCTCCATAACAACAAGTCCATTGAGGTCTTACAGGGATAGTGAATCTGGTTATGTAATTGGGCCTAACTTTGCACAGATGAAAAAAGGGGAATAAAATCATATATTAAAAAAAAAGAAATGTACCATCTAATTCAAGCTAAGTATGGTGATTGAAATAATTAACTATTAAATTAAAAGCATTAATGTATATAAATACAATATGGATACAAGGGTGTCATCTAGTAACAAACTAGTCAGAATTGGTTAACACATTTACGCCTAGTGTAAATACATTTCATAATGTGTAGACCAAACGTAGGGAAAAGCATATTAAGGTCAGCTGACACATTGTGTAGCTATTTCATAATGTACCAGCAAAGGGCACAAAGTAAATTAAGTCTTGCCATTGTTACTACTTACTTCTCTTCCACCAACTGTTTCTGATACTCCTCATATTCCTCACGTGTCATCCCAGCTGCTTTTGCAGGATCTTTAGGGGTTTCGTCTTCTTCTTTGTCACCTCCACCCCCAAGACCCATGCCTGACAAGGGGTTTCCAATCATGCTTTTGATCAAGAATGCCATAATCCCTTATCTAATGTAATCACAAAGTCACCACCGAACAACTACAAAATATCCTGCAAAACAGAAATATTCCTCTACTTTAGCTCCCTATGGCTGTCACATCCACTTTTAGCTTTGTAGTCAACCTGCTGCTTGTCTATGGAGCCAAGGACACACTGACGACAAGCAATAGACACAAACAGGCACGCACAAGCTCACACACACATCGTTGTGCCACAGCCATAATCTGGATTTAATCCCACGTGTTTCACTATGCTAAGAGGCAGATGGCCTGTTTACTACTTTTCTATCGATTCCAAAGTTTCTCTTTTTATTTGTTAAATTTATAAATTCTCTCACAAGTCATGGTGCATCTTATCACATATAAATACATTTTCAGATGGAGACATCAACTTCTGACTTCACTTGTGACGTTTCCACCCACTTGGGTTTAATCATATTAGTGAAGTGTGGGCCACGTGCTGAGGCGGGTGAGACCAATGGGAGCAGGGAGGAGCAGGATTATAGGCTTCTTTATCCCCATCGAGCTTCCGTGCTATTGTTCAGTGGGGGATGACTGACAGGATGGTACAAGGGAGGCACCACAATGCCATTCCTTTGCTTCCTTTTATATTTTACACTTTAGACTATTTAAGAACTATTGACGTTATCTTGTAGTTTTAAAGATAGGCGCAACACAGTCATTTCAAGTATTTCTTTATGGAAAAATTTCCAGGCATTTCATACATGTAAAAAAAGTTATTTCAAAACACAGGTTTTTTAATGTATGAAGAGGGTTCTATTGCAACTTTATATGAAAGGCAAGAGATGGGCATTAAAAATCTGAAACTTGTGACCAACAGAAAAAAATACTGAGAAATCTGAAATATTATGGACGTCAGTGTCGTACTAGCATTCATACACATAAGGCAACATCGATGATCAAATTAAATTTTCAAATAATTACAACAAACTTCATAAACAGCTGCAAATTCTGTGCAAGTACAATAACTTATATTCAATATTATCCAATACTTCTCAAATCAAAAGAACTTCTTGGCAGCTGCCTCTTGTTGACTTCTAAAAGATAAAATCAAAAATGTTAGTGTTCACAGATCAAATTAAAATAATGTTGAACTACCTTGAAATATCTTACTTGTACATGATGTAGCAGAAAAACAGAACCGACTGGACAACTATGAATATAACAAAATGCATTGTGGAGAGACATGTGGGCATTGGAGGTGGCTCTGGGCATTTGAGTGCCTTTTCAGCTGGATTCTGAAGAAGACACAAGAGTCAGGAGAATTGAAGGGAATACTCATACAATGTGATTAACAAGACATAAGAAGGATACCTGCACACTTTTCTGAACAAGATGTTCTACATCTCGTTTGACTAAGTGCAAATGTTCCTTGAGGTCATTGAAATGTTGAAGGCTCTCATATGTTCCCATACCACCCGTGTTGGCCGGGTGTTGAACTGAACCAATCTGCTTCAAAGACTCAAAAAAGGAGGATCTGTGGAAACATGTACAATATTCCCAATCAAAAGACCAGAAAAATGACAAACCAATATTTTTAATGCTGAATAATATGATTTGTTAAATTCACTCTGGTATCAGGATGGAGAAACAAAATTGGACCAAAATTAATCCCCGAATCCATATTCACAAGGGACTACATGCTCTTAAGTTAAAAATACAGAAATTACCATCTGATAAAGGGGGTCATGATTGTTGAATTAATCTCTCATAAAACATGTCTCTTTAAAGATTACGAATAAAGCAGGCTAAAGGCTGCCACACACTACAGGATTTTTTGGTCTTAAATGATTTTTAAACGTGTGACAAAAAGTGCACGCCAGAGACACGAGGAGAACCTTATGAGATTGAGAAATGAAATTACAGGATATGGCTGTGTACCACAGACCTAAAAGATGTGAGCACACCTCACATCAGCCGTTTCCTTTCTACAGTAAAACCACTCGCTTTGAGACACTCAAGTGTTGAAAAGATCAGAGCATTGCACTTCTAGTTTATATGCAAGACAAAACTGTGTTATTTTTATGTGTGAAATGTGGTGCAATCCTTCAGATACATGATTTTTAATGCACAGAAGGTTGGTGATAAAGTACACAGGAAGTAGAGTCACTATTGCTAATCTGCAGCTTCACCCCAATCCGCGCACTGTGTGGATGTAAACAGACACACGTGAGGAACGACTCTTGCCTTTTTACATATAATTTTTACATTATAATTTTTTTTGTATCTCATGCCTCTCTGTCCATCACCCTGTCTGATGCTGTTTTATTGGCTGTTATCATAGTGTTGCTGATATATTTGGTGGTTACGATCTGACAGTGCAGCTCAGAATCACACAGACACCACACATGAGGAGCGCAGCAGCTTCAAAATCGCACACGACTTAAGAAGCATTTTCATGCCAACAATGTTATCGCCATTCACTGTAATAGTAGCAACGTTATTGGTATAAAATAAGTGAACTCTTGAGTAATCATACATATTTATCCTGATAAATTGGGTATCAGTTTTGCTTTTTCAGAATAGGGGCAAACTGAACTTTCACTTTACTTTCAGTTTCAAAGATGATTATGGAAAATAAAACTGGGATTTAACACATTGACATGCAAATAAGGAGGCCTGGGGGCAGGATTATTACCACAACACCAAAAAAACAATTGGACTAAAATCCTTAGTCCATGTTCTGTGGTATGACAGATGTATTGGACAACATCTAATCTGATAAAGAAAATAGTGGTAAGATGTGGGCTTTTCTTGCCTGGACACATGGCTGAGGTCTGAAAAGATGACGCATAAACAAAATCTAATTTGTTTCAGGGAATAACCAAAATCTTCCTTGAGAAAGTAAGTGAGCATTTATTAAAGCCTACATCTAATCTTCAACTGTGACCCATTTATGAAGAGGCGCTCCTCCTTGAATATGAGTCGAAGAGGGAGTCCTATCATGACCTCTTGAATTTCAGTGACAAGGCAGGATAAAATGAATCCTTAATCTACAGTGTATTACAAATGAGCTTTTCACTTGAGCAATTTAGAAGGAGCAGACGTGTGCCTTTTGACAGGAAATGCAGTCACGCTCTCAGGATTTAATCTACTATGACAGCCTTTACATGCCCGATTTATGATGGGATTATACATATAGGAGCTTAATGAAGACATTTATTATTGGTGTTAACGGTTTGTTATATAATAACCAAATTCTCCTGTTAAAGAAACTTTGATTGTCCTGTTGGGTTTAGGCCTTGTTTTTTGTTTATTGTCATTGCAAGTAGATTTTGTAATACAGACCTAATGGAAAACCTAAAACCAAGGCAAAATGACAAATTTTGCTTGGGTATATCAAAACTAGATGTTAGTCAGAAACCTGGCCACTTCATAAGACCCTGGGTGCAAGAATAGATGGGTTTGGTAACAGGACCCTCAAGGCTATCGAGATCATCAGGTGGCCCAAGCATAGTTATCAGGTGTGTCTTGACCACCCAACAGAAGCCATGCTTCTGCCATGCTACTGCTGGGGCCATCGGCCATGGGGTTAACCTGGGGAGAGTGATCTCCAGCTGCTTGGAGTAATGGCTGAGAATGCCATGAAGCTGGAATAAGACTGCTCAGCACCAGGTGGGTTGTACCCATGACGCTGGCCCAGCATCTCCTCACTAGGTCTGTGAATGACTGATTACAAATTAAACACATTGAGAGAAACCTTCACCACTAATATAACAGTCTGTTATTACAGCTACGATATCCTGTGATTTACAACATAGTGGTGTGGTGTATATGTAGCGCAGAATCTGTGGTACCTCAAGTCATTCAAATTCCGAAGGACTTCCTGTTGAGTTGCAATGACGGAGTTTATTTGCGTACTGGAATCCACCTATTATAAATAAATAAATAGAATAAATAAATAATGACAAAGAAAAAAACTACATAATTAATTAAAATACATTGTTTTGCTTTTGTCATGCAGTTGTCCTACCTGTCCTGACTCAGCATTGGCCCCTTTTTTGGAGACCTCTTCAGTAATAATGGACACATAGCGACGCTGCTCATCCAGTATCATTGCAAGTTGTCTGTGGAGTTGTTTGATTTCCAGATGAATCCGGTTCTGGCCTTCAAACACTTGACGAATTTCCCGGTCATTGACAGACTCATACAGATCCTCAACTAAAGAGAATATATCACAACTGATTTAAGTTATTTTACATTCAACTGTTTCTATAAGATTCATCTTTGAAAGACTAACTTGGCTCTCCTTGCACATCAGGGTGTTCTTTCTGAAACTCCTCTTTCTTTTTGTCCAGTTCTTGTTGAAAGTTTTGAAATTCTTCCTGATATTTGTCCTTTTCCTCTTTAGGAATTTCAGATTCAGGTGGAGGCTTTAGTAGAGAACAGAACAATATTTGCTCAGAGTAAAAGGAGCAGTGCTTGGGATCCACACAATATACAGAAATGTATGTGATGTATGCAACATAAAATAACTACCATAGTCAAAGGGCAACATATAGGGCAGGACAATATATATTCATTTACTTACCGGTTGTTGTCCTGGCTCTGTGAGACTGAATAATAAAAAGGACAAAACATCATGGTCATCTAAAAGAGAAATCAAAATATTTTAGACATCATAGTGGGTCCCTATGCAATTCAGCAAAGATTCTTATATATCTGTGCTTGGTAAGGACCTTTGATAATTCCTACAGCCCATATCACATTTGTTGTTTATGAGCAGTATGTATGAAAAGCAATGGATTATAACATTATTACTTACTTATTACTAAAAGGAAAATCTACCTGCTAAGCCCCCAGTGGCAGCGGAGATTCCAAAGAAGCCTTCCGTGGGAATGACCATGTTGTCTACCTTTGCACAGAACTCATAATCTTCTTTATCAGGAGTGAACCCATTGTTGATCATCACCTATAATGAAACGTGAAATAAATCTGGAAATACATGCTCAATTCAGTTTGTTTTCCTTTTTTTTACCGTTAATGTCTTCTTATAGTATGTCATTTTTGCCCGAACTGGATACGGTTTGTTACGGAAATCTCGTAGACATGTGCCAAGAGCTTGTGTGGAGCCATCACTAAAACAATTTAATATTTTAGACAAAATATCAACACTGGCTGGTAGATGTGATCCCAATACACTGAATGTTACACCAGAGTTAGTGTGGTTAAAATGCATAATCAGATTATGTCACAAACATGATTTTTGTAAACAAGTATTAATATTATTTCAGGCCTTTAAAAAGTTACTGGAGCATTCACTGGCCTTGGGG